ACCATGTATGCCCATTTAAAAGTATCAATCATCATATCACACTTCATGCAGCTAAACTGTCCAACTCCGGACGGCACAACCTTTTTTGAACATCCTTTATTTGTGCAACTCTGAAAACATTTAGCAGCAAGAAAATCAAAAAGATAACAAACAATTGTACCTGATACAAAGCTGAATTCGTCTTGATCGAAGTCACCATCGCCTTAAGATTCATGTACCGACCATTGGATAAAGCAGCCTCATTTCCAAGCTGGAGTGCAGTGACCGTGCCGATGAAGTATGTATCGCTTGCTGAAACCAATACTTGGAATGTGAACTGCAACCTAGAGCAAAAGTAGATTACAAACCAAATATATTGCTCCCACCAATCGCACCCATACTGATACTCTTAACATTTTCCGCTCTGCGCTTAGTGATATACCAATCAAGCAACGTCTGAACACCGTCAAACTGTGGATTGAACTCAACTTTTGACGCCGATGACAATGCCAAACTAAACGTTCCTGAATAACAAGAACCTTTGTCATCATTAACATTTCAAAAAAAGAAACCACCCAACCATTCCATTCCTTCACTAAGGCCCCTTTAATTGATATCACTTGACCAAGAACATCATCCTCGAAGTGTTCGGCTTGATCACCCCATAAAGTCAGTTGCACTACGACAACCGATTGATCCACAAGATTCAAGTCTCGCTTGACGCATTCACGCCCTTGTCTCGATATAAACTGAAATTAAAAAAAAAACCAACAGTGCAACATAACTACGCGCAGACTCGACTTACTTTATTTACAGGATCTATTTGGTCGACCACAGCAAGCACATCAATAAACTCATCTTTATGGCCAGGCACATTTGCCAATGGGCAAATTTTGAGTACAAGCGGTGGCTCCGCTATTTGAACATCACAGCGAACGATCAAGAAATAAAATCATGATCAAAAAAGCAATATAGACAAGCGCAACTCACTTCCGTGTTTGCATTGACCGATAATTCATAATCATGTCCAGTTGTATTAAAACGCTTGTTTGCTTGTTTCACAAGACAATTGGAAATGTAATAAGACTGCAAAACTTGAAATTCGCAAAAACTAACTAACATAAAACTTCGTTTACATAGCCAAGCTGAACTTTCGCGAATGCATTTTTGGCAGCATCATTGAAACTGCTTATGCGGATAGCGATCCCATCCTTATCCGTTATCACAAAACTAAATACCTGCAAAGCAAATACGCATTTTTAAACAAAAAACTTTCATATATTTCAATATTTTCAAAAGCATGGAGCACATGTACATCATACCAGAAGGTCTCCACCTCGCGGTGATCTGATAGTTTTCAGTTCATCTTTGGATGTACAAAGACCGCATATTCGCCACTTGTTAACATACGGAGTAATCAAACTGATGGGCGTAATTTTCACATCAGCCGAAGCCACCGGTATACGCCGCACAGGAGCATCTTGTCTTAGTACTAAAAAAAATAATTTTACCGTTACCAAAATGAAACAACAAAATCTTACAATCACGATAACTATTAGTATCACATGACTTTTTCCAAGGAACCGAGTACACTTGAAGCGGTGAGTAATTAGCAAACACATCCTGTGAGTGTAACCAAATTGTCAACGTACAATGAGAGAAAAAAATTCTAATATAAATGACCTTGTTCCCGTCATGGCTTACTCCCTTGGAAAGGATAGGATGCCCACGTGACAATAACTCGTAACCGCTAATAACCAACATAGGAATGCTAAAGGCACAATATCATACTACAATAATTTGTATAGGACTAAAACACTTGCCCTGGGTTCCCGTCACTCTTTTTACCGATCCAACAGCCACGCTTAATTTGCAGTTTGGTCACCGCAATAATTTCTCCACCATTCCCAGCGAACTTGTCACGAGCACATTGCTCTTCCAAACGTTTGACAACAAACACTCCTAAAATTATTCAAACTCCAACGTCCGATACATTTCTTCAGTAACACACAGTAACTACTTATCTCGAGTCATTTGTAACTTACGAGGGAGGATACTTGGTCGAAGTGTCGTTTCCATAAGAAATG